TGGGGTTTTGTTTGTTCTCTTTCTAGCTCCCCTAGGTGGAAGGTTAATTTTTTATTTGAAAATTTTCTTGCTTCTTGAGGTAGTTAAGGGTCACTATTTTATCTTTTTTTTATGAATTTTAAAAATTCTAATATCTTTCACTCAAGTCTTTTTCTCCTCTCTTAAAAAATTATATTAAGCATATTGGACCTTTAACTATGATATGTATTACAAATATTTCGTCCCAGCTTACCAGCCTGACTTTGACTTTGATTATGGTATTTTTGTCATGAAAACGGTTTTGATTTTTATATAATGAAATGTGTCAGTTTTTCTTTTGCTGCAATCTGGACTTCAGTCATAGTTAGAAAGTCTTCTCACCCAAGATAAAGATAATTTCACTCATGTTTCCCTCCAGTACTTGTATACTTTTATCATTCACATTTAGGTCACTGATCCATTTGGAGTTTATTCCTATATATGGTGTGACATAAAAAATCTAATTTAATTTTTTTCCAAATGGCCAACCAGTTGTCCTAGCACCATTTATTAAAATTCCATCTTACTCCCAGTAACTTGAAATGTCACCTTTATTATATATTGAAGTTTCATATTCACACAAACTTGGATCTATTTCTAGACTTTTTCTACTTCCACTATTTCTATTGAATTCTATATACAGGTATGCCTGTATATTCACATGTGTACTACAGTTTTAATTCTAGAGTCTTTATAATATGTTTTGAATATGGAGGGCTAGGGGCTTACTCCTCTATCATAAATGTTTTTGTTTTAGTATTTCTCTGACTGTTCTTATTATGGTTTTCCATATCATGTTAACTATCAACTTGCCTAGCTTCATGAAAATGCTAGAGTTTATTAGGATGGGGACTGAGTTTTAAATTTATAAAAAAGTTTAGGGAGAACTGACATCTTTATGATGGGAGTTATCCTATCCCAATATGAGATATGTCCTTTTATCAAAATTACTTTTGGGGCACCTAGGTGGCTCAGTTGGTCTTTTTGAATAAGTACTGCTAAACAAGTGGATACACATTTGGGGAAAAAAAAAACTTACCTTGATTATTATTACTGGCTGACCTTTACTGAACTTCTGTAGTCATAGTTTTATTTTTTAAAAATATTTTATTTATTTATTCATGAGAGACAGAGAGAGAGAGAGAGGCAGAGACACAGGCAGAGGGAGAAGCAGGCTCCATGCAAGGAGCCCGATGTGGGACTTGATCCGGGGTCCCCAGGATCACACGCTGGGCTGCAGGCGGCACTAAACCACAGCGCCACTGTGGCTGCCCTAGTCATAGTTTTATTGTCTGAAAAAAAAAATCATTCTGTAGGTCCACAACTCTTTATCTGTGATTCCAAAGTCCAAAATTGAAAACCACTCATTTCTTTCTAAACTTTTTGGTGCCAAAATCCAACCTCACCTAATTTACATGGCCACAAACCTAATCTGAAAAAAAAAAAAAAACCTAATCTGAAATGACTTGACACTATATATGTAGCCTCTATGTAGTCTACTATATTCATATACTACGCTGCAAATGTATACATTTATTTCATTACAAGTTATTATTCAGACCCTGCTGATTGTGTTCCATTCTACATAGTACCTACAATATATTACTTTACCAAAATCCAAAATGTTCTGATTTCAGGCATACATATAAAGAAGTTAGTATATTGTTTGGCACAGAGTTACTCCTTGGTATATTTTACCTACTACTCCTACTGCTGCTGCTGCTACTATAACCATCACCACCACTGTCATTATTACTATTGTGAATTGTAGGAGTAGCTGTAAAGGTGATTAAACATTTAAAAGGAATTAATAAAAAATATAATGAGAGAGGTTTATTTTTGTTTTTTTGTTTTGTTTTTAATGAGAGGTTTAAAGGAGCGTTCAGTGTCTGTAAGTGAGTCCACTCTCTGGCATCCCCAGAGAGGTGGCATTGGTGGTTCAACAGAGATCCTCATGAGGAAAACATGAAACAAAACCCAGTGCCCCTGAGCAAACTCCTGGGTCCCTTAGCAAATCCAGCTGGAGATTCTCTGTGCACTGCTTATTCTGTTTTATTTTGCAATTATTATTATTTTTTGCACTGCTCATTTTAGAGAGTCTGAAGAGATCAGAAGAGGTGGCCAGTTTCCTGATACAGTACAGTCAGGAAAAGGTTGTTACCGTTGAAAAAGCATTTACTTTTCAAGGAGAGAAGGAAGGGAAAGAGCAGAGAAAAATAAATACAGGAGAAAGACTAGGGAAGTGAAGGAGAAAAGCGAGTGCCCAAGAGGACAGCTCTTTTCCAGAAACACCTTCTTTTCTTGGGCCAATGCTAAGAGTGAGTCATGACCAATGATTATAATTATGGGAACGTCAAGGTCCAATGAAAAACTTTAAGAAATGGGATGTCTGGGTGGCTCAGGAGTTGAGTGTTTGGCTCAGGGCATGATCCTGGAGACCCGGGATCGAGTCCCACATTGGGCTTCCTGCATAGAGCCTGCTTCTCCCTCTGCCTATGTCTCTGCCTCTCTCTCTCTCTCTCTCATGAATAAATAGATAATTCTTAAAAAAAAAAAAAAAAACAACTTTAAGAAAAAGTAAACCGTAACAAAACTGTTAAAGTTACTGTCCCAGAACACTAGAAAAAGTAGGTGCCTTGTATTTTGCAGAGTTTAGTGAACTAAATAAACTCGGTTAGCCATAGTGTGATTACAATTCTATTTTAAAAGGATGTTTAAAAAAAAAAATAAAAGGATGTCTGAAAGTAGGTAGGAGGGAGAAAAAATCTCTTTGTTCTGAGTAATAAGGGCCCTGATAAAGGAATCCTTCAGGTTCAGGACAGATGGCATAAGACAGAAATAGGCTTAGACACACAGCAGAGGATCAGAGAAGAAAAGATGCAGACCAGCAGGAATGAATGTGTCAATTGTCTTCACTGGGGCTCCCTGCGTTCATCACCCCCTTCTGTGACTCACCCTACAGCCTTTGCAGTTAGTTGTCTTAGGGACTAAATGTTTGTGTCCTCTCTCTCCCACCAGATTCACATATTGAAGCTCAAACCCTGATGGTATTTGGAGAGGCCTGAGGCAGACAGATAATTAGGGTTAGATGAGGTCATGAGAATGAAGCATGTGAGGCAATTAGTTAGGAAGAGAGCACTCACCAGGACCTGAGTCGCTGGCCACCTAGGACTGCTCAGCCTCTAGAACCCTGGAAAGATAAACTTGCAGTAGTTTAAGCCATCCACCCTCCCGGCATTTTGTTACAGCAGCCAGAGCAGACAGTGCAGTGCGGACCAAAGCACTCAGATCTGTTTACTCATTCCCGGAGGTGCGATCAGTCATTTCAGATGAATTCTATTGTCACTAGTCCGAAACTAAAGACCCTTCCCCGTATTTTAAAACTTGTATGAATTGATTGAGTGATCCCTGAGTATTACAACCCAGTGAGATCAAGCCCAGGGAGATCAAACCAGGGAAGCGGCACCCCTTACATGATGCTGCTTTAGTGAGGATTATTTCTGCCTGGGAGTGCTACAAATTAAACAACTGAATGAGGATATAATAGCTACAGATAGGCTGACTTTTCTACACATTGCAAATTATTTTTTTTATTTTTTTTTATGATAGTCAGAGAGAGAGAGAGAGAGAGAGAGAGAGGCAGAGACACAGGCAGAGGGAGAAGCAGGCTCCATGCACCGGGAGCCCGACGTGGGACTCGATCCTGGATCTCCAAGATCGCGCCCTGGGCCAAAGGCAGGCGCCAAACCGCTGCGCCACGCAGGGATCCCCACATTGCAAATTATTAACGGATGTCGCGAAGACAGAAACCGATTAGGCTGAAATCTTCTTAGTGGCTCGCTGCTTCCGCCTTCTGGTGATTTGGAGACATAGCAGGGCGGTGGATTAGGGTTTTTTTCCCTTAATAATTCCTTATCACCATTCTTACTACTGAAAATTAATGTCAGCATAAAAACAACCAAAATCTTACCATGTCATGATATTGTATTTGAAAACTTTAAAAAATTCCACACTCTTTTTAATGTCATTTTTTTAATATCTAGGAAAACAGATAATTGGGTATATAGCCTCTTTCCCTGCTCACACAGCCTGTTTGGTTCAGAATTTTTTTTTTTTTAGATTTTATTTATTTATTCATGAGAGACACACAGAGGCAGATACACAGGCAGAGGGATAAACAGGCTCCATGCAGGAAGCCCAATGTGGGACTCGATCCCAGGACTCCGGGATTATGCCCTGAGTCAAAGGCAGACGCTCAACTACTGAGCCACTCAGGTGTCCCCAGAATTTTTTTTTTATTAAGTGAGCTTTATGCCTAACGTAGGGCTTGAACTCATGACCCCAAAATCAAGATTTGCATGCTCTACCGACTGAGCCACGAGGCACCCCTAGAATAAATATTTTGTGATCAGCAGTCTATTCCATTTTAAAGTAAAGATCAAGTCAAAAAGCATCTTCTTTCTCACACACAGGACTCACTATTATAGATCATTATGAGTTCAAGGCCTATGTCTTGCAAATATATCTAAAATAATGTAGCATCCAATCATGATGAAACCTTTAGTAGGCAATAGGAGAAAACTTCCTTTATGTGATAAAATCTATTTTAAAAAGCCTACAGCAAACATCATTCTTAACTGTGACATGAAAGTTTTTGCTTTGTGTCCAGAACAAGCTGCCACCTAAGGCTAATCCTATTCCACCTCGTACTGGAGGTTTTTTGCCAATGCATATGGCAAGAAAAAGGACAAAAAGTCATGTGCATTGAGAAGGAATAGATAAAAGTTGTTCCTCACAGATTATCTGATTGCATACATAAGAAAAAATTAAGTTACAGATAAATTATTAGACTACTAAGATAGTTTACTAACAGTGCTAGTGTGAGATAAATTTTTAAGAATCAGTTGTATGTCTGAATAATCATTAGAATAGAAAATCTTAGATACAACGCGCCCCCGGACTGGGCGCCAGCACCCCCCCTCCCCCGGCCGCCAACTCCGCCACCATGGAGGACACGAACCAGCACAGCAACACAGAGGAATTCGCAGAGGGATCCAAGATCAACGCGAGCAAGAATCTGCAGGATGACGGTAAAATGTTTATTGGAGGCTTGAGCTGGGATACAAGCAAGAAAGATCTGACTGAATATTTGTCTCGATTTGGGGAAGTTGTAGACTGTACAATTAAAACAGATCCAGTGACTGGAAGATCAAGAGGATTTGGATTTGTGCTTTTCAAAGATGCTGCTAGTGTTGATAAGGTTTTGGGACTGAAAGAACACAAACTGGATGGCAAGTTGATAGACCCCAAAAGGGCCAAAGCTTTAAAAGGGAAAGAACCCCCAAAAAAGGTTTTTGTGGGTGGATTGAGCCCAGATACTTCCGAAGAACAAATTAAGGAATATTTTGGAGCCTTTGCAGAGATTGAAAATATTGAACTTCCCATGGATACAAAAACAAACGAAAGAAGAGGATTTTGTTTTATTACCTATACAGACGAAGAGCCAGTAAAGAAATTGTTAGAAAGCAGATATCATCAAATTGGTTCTGGGAAGTGTGAAATCAAAGTTGCACAACCCAAAGAGGTATATAGGCAGCAACAGCAACAACAAAAAGGAGGAAGAGGTGCTGCAGCTGGTGGACGAGGTGGTAGTAGGGGTCGTGGACGAGGTCAGGGCCAAAACTGGAACCAAGGATTTAATAACTATTATGATCAAGGATATGGAAATTACAATAGTGCCTATGGTGGTGATCAAAACTATAGTGGCTATGGCGGCTATGATTATACTGGGTATAACTATGGGAACTATGGATATGGACAGGGATATGCAGACTACAGTGGCCAACAGAGCACTTACGGCAAGGCATCTAGAGGGGGTGGCAATCACCAAAACAATTACCAGCCATACTAAAGGAGGACATTGGAGAAAACAGGAGGAGATTGCTTAAAGTTAACCCATCTTGCAGGACGACATTGAAGATTGGTCTTCTGTTGATCTAAGATGATTATTTTGTAAAAGACTTTCTAGTGTACAAGACACAACCGTGTCCAACTGTATATAGCCGCCAATTAGTTTCCTTTGTTTTTACTTTGTCTTTTGCTATCTGTGTTACGACTCGGTGTGGATTTGTGTTTATACAAATTTTATTTGTCTGATTTCATGTTAAACCTCAAATAAATGCTTCCTTATGTGAAAAAAAGAGAAAATCTTAATCCATTTACAGTGCTATCAAAAGACTAGATATTATAAATGGATCAGTTCTCTTCAAATGTATCTCCAGATTAAGTGCAAAACTCAAAAGTCCTACAGATTTTTGAAATGAAATCAGTTCTGAAGTTTCTATGGAAATACAGAGGTCTGAGATCCACTTGATGAAAAAGGAGGACTCACTTCACCTGAATATTGTTATATCAGGTGGTTTTGAGATAATTTTTTTTTAATTTTTATTTACTTATGATAGTCACAGAGAGAGAGAGAGGCAGAGACACAGGCAGAGGGAGAAGCAGGCTCCATGCACCGGGAACCCGATGTGGGATTCGATCCCGGGTCTCCAGGATCGCGCCCTGGGCCAAAGGCAGGCGCCAAACCGCTGCGCCACCCAGGGATCCCTATCAGGTGGTTTTGGCTCAAGGCTAGACTATGGGATACAGTAGAGAAAACTGACACATTGAGACATACAATGGACATTTGGTTTATGACAAAAGTGGTTACTGCAGAGGAGTTGCTAAAGGGCAGGTTATCAACAAATAGTACTGGGGAGTTAGTTATCTGGAAGAGAAAATACATATTTTCTCTTTTATTTATTTATTTGAGAGAGTGCATGAGAGAGAGAAAAAGAGAGAGAGAGAGCACGAGCATGGAGGAGGGGCAGAGAGAGAAGGAGAAGCAGACTCCTTGCAGAGTAGGGATCCTGCCGTGTGCCTTGATCCCAGGACGTTGGGATCATGACTTGAGTGGAAAGCAGATGCTTAACTGACTGAGCCACCCCAGGTGTCCTGTTAGTCATCTATTTTAATATTTTCTCTTCTAGGGAGCCTCCTTGTCCCTCTCCCCTCGCTCATATTCTCTCTCTCACTATCTCTCATAAATTTAAAAAATAAATAAATAAATAAATAAATAAATGTTAAAAATAAAATAGATGGCTAACAGAAATGAATTCCCAGCGTAAGACTGAACTTCGAACTGAATGTCTGTGTCTCCCTCCAAAATCATGTATTGAAGCCCTTAACCCCCAATGTGATGGTATTTGGAGGTGGGGTTTGGAGGAAGTAATTAGGTATAGATGAGGTCATGAAAGTAGGGTCCCCATGATGGAATTAGTGTGTCCAGAGCTCTTGTGTTTTCTCTACCATCTGAGGACACAGCAAAAAAAAAAAAAAAAAAAAAAAAAAAAAAAAATGCCGCTTGCAAGTTAGGAAGAGGGATCCCACCAGGAATTGAGTGCCAGCACACTCAGTTCACACTGACCTTGGCTATCCCAGCCTCTGGAATTGTGAGCAATCCATGTCTGTTAAGCCAACCCAGTCTCAGTGTCTTGCTATGGCGACCTGAGCTGACTAAGACAAAGAACTTCTTGAGAAAAGTAAAGAAATAAAGATTTTTAAAGACAATGTAGGGTACCCTCATGACCTCAGTGTTGGGGAAGTTTTTAAAACAGGACACACAAAAGAAAAACCATAAAGGAATAGATGATAACTATTAATTTAAAATTAAGAACTTTTATTCATCAAAAGATCCCATTAAGAGGGTGAACACGCAAGCCTAAATTGGGAGAAAGCATTTCCACAAGCAATAACAAATTGCATGCAGGCTATATTAAGAACTTCTACCAATCAATAAGAAAAAGACAAAACCCAGAAGAAAAAATGAACAAGAGACATGCATCTCCAAATGGCCAATAAAAATTGAAAAAGTGCTCAACCTCATTAATAATCCATGGAATGCAATGGGATACCACTGGAATGGATAACATTTAAAAGTCTGACAACACCAATTTGGAGGGTAATGTGTAGTAAGCAGAGGGCTCATCGCTGTTGGTTAGGGTGTAAAGTGGTACATTTATCCTAGAAAACAACTTGGCATCATCAACTAAATTTGAACATTTGAATTTCTGTCACCAAACGATGCCACTCTAGATGTACAAAGTGTGCACCCCAAAGCACAAAAGTATGCATTCAAAAGTATGTGTAGCAGCAATATTTTTAAAAATCCAAACTGGAAACAACACTAAGTATCATTAAGAGCAGAAATAATATATATAGATTATGGCATACTCATATAGTGGAATGAGAAAATAAATAAAACATGGAATCTTAAAAATGTGATGTCAAGGCACACCTGGGTGGCTCAGTGGTTGAGCGTCTGCCTTTGGCTCAGGTCGTGATCCCCACAGGGAGCCTGCTTCTCCCTCTCCCTACATCTCTACCTCTCTGTGTGTCTCTCATGAATAAATAAAATCTTTTAAAAAAATGTGATGTCGATCAGAGGAAACCAGACATAAAAGAATACACGCTGTATAATTCCATTTATATCTGCTGTAAAGAGACAACAAAAGCACAGTGTGGTGTTTAGGTATGCTTAGGTTAAAGGCATAAAGAGAGCAAAATAAGTGTTGATTGTATTCAAATAAGAATAGTGGTTACTTCTGAGGAGGAAGGAATTTGTGTTTGGAAAGGGCATGCAGAGGTTTTGGGGGTTCTGGTAAGGTTCTCTTACCTGAGAGATTTACATGGGTATTAGGTTTCAAATAATTTTTTAAGCTCTAATTTATATTTTACCTATGTTTCTGCATGTATATGTCATAATATAAAAAGGTTATATATATATATATGTGTGTGTGTGTGTGTGTGTGTGTGTATGTAAAATTTTTTAAATCCTAGGCAAGACCATCAGGTATGTACGCTTTGCCCGAGCTAATGATCTTTGCAAAACACTCTCACAAATTCAGACACCATAGCTCCAGGCCTGGCACAATAGTTTCGGTCTTCCCTTTGTTGCCCTGATACAGTAATAGAGCAAAAATAATAGCAGCTAATATTTATGCCAAGCCCTATTATTTGCTCTCCACATCTTATTTCATTAGACCTTATTCACCCTAGGAGGTAGGTACTCTTTTTTTTTTTTTAAGATTTTATTTATTTATTTGAGAGAGAGTGAGCGTGAGTGAACGGGAGAGAGAATCTGAAGTAGACTCCGCCCTGAGCACTGAGCCCGACTCAGGGCTTCATCCCACAGTGGCGAGGTTGTGACCTGAGCCAAAACCAAGAAACCAAGAGGCAGATGCTTAACCGACTGAGTCACCCAGGCACCCAGGTACTAATTATAAGTACTCTTATTATGCCCATTTTACGAATGAGAAGACAGGGACAGAGACGTTAGCAGATGGCTCATGAGAGGCACAGTCAGAATTCAAATACCAAGATCAGAACTCCAGATCCTGCACTTTTAATTATGACATGATAGCATCAGCGCCTTCTGTTGCCCCAACATCCTATAGGATGCTTATTCCTGCCCGTGTGATTCTAGGTTTGGAGATCTTGTAGATGGGCAGCATTAAGGACAGAGACGGCTCAGAGGTCATGCTGCTGAGCTGCTTTGGCCTCATTCGGATGTACGTTGCTGGTCCAGATGGAGTGATATCCCCTAGTGAGAATTAAAAGCAAGAAGTCTTCTCAGGTCTTAATAAGATTGTGCCCTGGCCAGCATAGAACAAACCATTTAGAGTTTGTAAGGCTTAGATTTAAGTCCTTAGTGAACAAAAGCTTGGATTTTCTTTTGAGGCGAAATGCATTGTATCCTTCTCACTCCATAATAAGGCTCATTCTCTTTGTGGATTTTTAAAAATTGCTTAGCTGTGAATTCTGTAAGTGTTTACAATTGGGCTAGATGTCAGGCCTTTCCCTCTCTGAAGTGAGATTAACATTTGTACTAATTAAAAATATTGTTTTTAGTTAGCCTACAGAAAATCTCAACCAGATATTCATTTATGAGGACATATTTAAATGGAGGGAGATGGTACAAGGCCACAAACCTATAATTGATAAATATTAACTACGTGGAATGAAGGAGTTTAATAAAATTTGAGGTAGAAGGGGCAGGGGGAAAGAGAAGGGAGGAGGAGGAGGAAAGGGAGCAGGAAGAGGAGGAGAAGAAAGATGATGATATGGGTGTAAAATAAAGGAAGGACACAGATTCTTCATTTGAAATCACCCTTAGAAAGCACCACATATTTCAAGTGACAAGCCACCTCACAGAATTGCTGAGAAGTATTGGACTGGCTTTTGGTGCTATGGAGTCCTATTAATGACTAGAATGAAATTGTGCTTATTTAAAAGTCTTATGGGTCCTCTGAATAGTACAGTTCTGGTCTTTGAAAACACACAGTGACATGGTACATAATTGGGAACAGTCAGTATTTACCTGCTTTAACAGTGGAGGCTTTGGTTCTTTTCATTTAGGCTGTTTCATTCATTCAAAGTTCATTCATTAAAGCTCAAATAATACATTTAGCCAATTTATACTCTTTCTTTCTCATTCTGCCCTTTGTTACACATTTTCTGAGAGGATAAATCCCAGTGTAAGAAGGTGCCATGATGACAACTCTTTATGAAGTACTGTATGCTGTGTTCGAAAAATGCCCAGTGTTGAAGTGAAGGTTAGAAAGGATTTCTTTGCTGTCTGTGTTTTCTTCAGTCCTCATTTTCTGTGGCCTTGAGCTTGGAGAGAGGCATACAAGGAGGTATGGGCTAGAGGGAAAAGTAAGGCAGTGAACTGGTGGGTGCCAGTATTTTCCAGATTTGCTCTTTCAGCCTGCCATGAGGAGACTTTCAATCTTATGGAGCTGCAATGTTAAAATATTAAGTCAGCGGAAATTTCTAGTACAAGTTAGGTTCCTCCCCCTGATGGAAGGGGACTAAAGTTTTGCTTCACTCCTATTTTGCATCAGGCATTTTATTATATTAAAAGAAAATCTTTTCAGTCTATTCCCTTTAAACATGCCTGTTTTTAGGGTTTAGAAGAAACATTTCCACTCCTTACTCACCCTGTTTCTTATGCTCTGGATGCCTAAGTAGAACAGTTGAGTGACAGCATGGAGTAGTAGAAAAAGAATAATGTTTCAAATGAGACATGCCTCGTTCCAATCTTTCCTCTGTATTTACCAAATGTGAGACTTCAATGGTTCCTGAATTTTTT